GTTTCTCTTAAATTATATATCATTAGACTGACTGACTCTCAACTTGCACATCATCTATGTACACTTTAATGTTTTTATACTTTTAATTAGAAAAAAATACATCCATGAGGCAATAATATGCAGCCTTAATATTTTTAAGCCCAACAAACTTTACATTATAATAAAACACTCTCATACTAGTAAAAAAATTGTCTTCTTAATGCTAGCTAGGTACATCTTAATATGGTAGCCGCCAGATAAAACATCCAAGAAGCTCATCACTGAGTGTCCAACTGTTGAATCCACCAGAGTGTCGATACTTGGCAAGGGTAGTTGTTCATTGAGCAAGCGGCGTTCATGTTGGTGAAGCCTATGTACATCATCCATTTATTGTTGGCCTCTTATATCAAGACTGCATTGGAGACCTAGGATGGGTATTGCACCTCTAGGATGTAGCCAGCTTCTTTGAGCTTCATCACTTCTTTTGGAATCAAGTCTACCAACATCATAGTCAAGGAGCTGATCTTCTGCTTCATTGATTAGGCGACTGGATTGATGTTTGGCTGGTGGCAAGCGACATCAAGAGGTATGTCTGACATCTCCACCATTGACCAAGCGAAGACATCTTGATGCTCCAAGTGAGTTCAAATTAGCAAGTTCTTATGCTCAACATCAAATGCCTCACTGATTTAGAAACACTTATCGGGCTCCTCTTCGGTTGCCAGTACGTCAAGGTTGGTCAAGTTGGTCTTGAGTCTCTCTTTTTTTTGGTGTTCAAGATAGAGTGGCTGCTGCTCTACACTGCCGACCACCAAAATTAATAGGTCTGAGACTGCTTCATGTTTTCTCAAACGGTGATGACTTCATTGCCACCCATAAACTTCATCTTCACATGGTATGTAGAGAATGCAACCTCAACGGTGGGTGGCCAAAGATTGCGTTGTAAGTTGGTGTTTAGTCTATCACTAAGAAGTCTTTCATGTGCGTTAACTATTTGTCACCCTCTCCCCAGTTGAATGGTAGTTTTACCACTCCAAGCACTTCCTTTCTCCCACTCAAGAATCTAGCTGGCACTGCCAACCGATATGTTAGAAGGTTCATCTTGTCGAGCACTAGTTTGGACAAGATGTTCGCTGAGCTGCTAGTGTCGACCAAGATAATATTAATATGGTAGTTATTGATCATGGTTGTGATGACAGTGGAATCATTGTAGTGATTCTTCCATGGGAGTGGATCAACATCAATGAAGGTGATTAATGGATGGGTGCCACTCTTGAGAACAAAGGCAACTGCACACAGTTCACCCAAATAGTGGCTCTTCCTTTTGGCCCTTTGGGAGGAATCTCCGCCTCCAAAGATTACTCGTATAGATTCGGCATTATGCATGATGTTCACCCAAAATAACTCATATGATATCTCCTCCATGAGAGTCTTTCTTGTTCACCCAAAATAACTCATATGATATCTCCTCCATATCTCCTCCATGGGAGTCTTTCTCTACCATTGTGTGATAGCTCCTTGAGCTTCTTAGCTCTTATCAACTTCAAAATTAGGCTCCAGATGTGTCGACACTCCTCTATGCCATGGCTGCAGTCTCGGTGGTATGCCAGTACTTCTTGGTGTTTTAGAAGAAAGCTCTATTCATCATTGGTGGCGCCTATTTGAAGTACTCTTTATTGTGGTTGGCCTTCACTAACTTGGCCATAGAGACCCTACATGGGGTGGTTTTTGGTGCTTCATGGTTATCAAATGGTCGCTCATAATGTTGTGACAGCTATTGGCCAACGTAATGCCCTTAACCTTTATTGTTATTCCTGTCGGCCCCCTATTACCTCGGGAAGACCGACAATTTTTGTAATGTAGCCAAGCGGAGGAACACCCATCCTACCTCGGTCTCCACTTATCATCCTTTAGGGCCTTTCTCTTCAAGTGATCGATGGTTGCTTTTACCCAGGCAGCCGCTGGGGTGGAGTTATACTTCTTGGCCAAGATATGATTGTTGGTCAGCTCCAACAATTTGTCAAGAGTTTTAGAGCATGTTTGGCTGCACTTTGGATTTATGTTAAATACAATTTGTAAACCTGAGAAATCTAAATTTATCAAATACATTTGTTGTTAAATCCATCATAGTGTTTGGTTCAGTTGAGGTTAAATCTAATTAAATCCAATAGACGTGTTTGGTATTTTATTCCAATTGAGCTATGTTATTGTTTTCTTCATAAGTTAAATTCATTAAGTCCACCAAACATTTAAGTTTAATAAATTTAGATTTACATCCAAAAATTGACGAAATGGAGAAGAAAATGGATTTAGTGGAGCACAACTTTAGCTTTCTCATTTTTTCATGTTTGGTTGGATTTACGTTAAATCGAGCAGTAAATCCTACTAAAAGTATGCTATTAAACACCCTCCTTTGGTTGTTGGAGGCCTAATGTGGAGCAAAAAGACTCTTGCTTTAGCACTTGAGCTGGCAGTATGTGCAATAGCTGGTAATCTAGTGATAAACGACTGAAGACTCTAGTTGTGCCATTGCCTTACTTGAAGTAGAGCCAACAAACTCTTCTGTGATTTTTGGGCACTAGCAAATTGGGCCACAAACACCTTCCTAAAATCAACAAAGGAGGTGATTACTTTAGGCAGTAGTTTGTTAAACCACCTGAAGTGCAACCTTCTTAGCTTGGAGAAGGAGAGTCTACACTTGAGAGCGTCGGTGATCCTCAACAGGCAGATCATCAAATCAAATGACATGAGGTGGTCGACCGATTCAGTACAACCATTGTAGGATACATGGGATGGTGCCTTGAGCTTCTAGGGGTTTGACAACTAAAATTTACTGAGAGAACACATTCTCTCGTTGTTGAGGGGCCCCACTGAGCCTGAAGCACTGTCTGTCCAGCGGAGTAAGTCTAACATCGCCTTGGTACTGTGAATCTCCTTGTTCTTGTGATGTATGGGTAGCAATTCTGCTGTTGGCCGCTAGCCCTTACGGGGGGTCTTCTCCATGCCCCATGCCACTTCTTCTCTGATGGCCTCCATTATCTGGCCCATCATTTGGTATCTTAACTTGAATTTGTTGCGGCACAAACTCTCGAGTGTGCTCTATGTTCTTTACGTCTCCCTGGTGAGTTTCTTCTCCAAATGACGCTTCTATTCTTGTTGTTGGTATGCTCCACACTCATCATATCTTTTAGGATATTGAATATGAAATTATCCTGTGAATCACACCCAAGAAATAAATTGTAGGACATGAGAGAGGAGAGAGAGATGGAGGGAGAAAGAGAACAGTATAGTGGCAATATGACTAGATTAGCCTGAACGTTCATTATCCCTTTAATGTAGAAATGACCTCTTATTTATAGCTAAAGAGGGGGGGGGGGGGGG